TGTCTGTGTGTGTGTGTCTGTGTGTGTGTCTGTGTGTGTGCCTGTGTGTGTGTGTGTCTGTGTGTCTGTGTCTGTGTGTGTGTCTGTGTGTGTGTGTCTGTGTGTCTGTGTGTGTCTGTGTGTCTGTGTGTGTGTGTGTCTGTGTGTCTGTGTGTGTCTGTGTCTCACTGTCCTTGTTTCAAAGGTTGGTTTGTCACTTGTCCTAGTCTTCTTCAGAATTGCTCCCTGAAGCCTCAGGGTGTACTCCTGATCATGAGAGATGGCACTGTGATTCTTCACAGACTCTCAGTAGGGGTGGACATCAAAGAGGGAGGGGCCTTAACATGAACTCCCTCCATTCTGGAGCAAAGCTAGGTTCAGAAAGGCTGGGTAGTGTGCCAAAGGACGCACAGATAGGCCCAAAATCTGGGCCAAGATCTCCCCATTCTTCACCCTCTTTTATAATGATGAGATTTAAAACTTAAAATGATTTAGGCAGCATTTACTCTGGACCAGGTATTTTTTCTAGAAACAATGCTCACATTGTCCGTTCGTCTATTCAACAGATATTCACACACCCCCTGCTGCCTGTTGGACAGCCTCTGACAAGTGAACAAGCCCATCAGCTTCCCGTTCACACTGAGTTTCTGTTCTGGTACAGGGACCGCAGAGCTCAGCCACCCAGGACCATGGCCCTGGGGAAGAAAGTCATACAAGAACATGTGCTAGGAGATGGCAGTTTCAAACACCCAAGGGCGCAGGATGGCTCTAAACGCTGCATATGGGTAGTAATTTATTGCAATTCTCTTTGCAGCAGTTTGAGAGAGATTTGCGGCGTTATGCCACCCATGAGCGGAAGATGATGCTGGATAACCATGCTCTGTATGACAAGACCAAGGTAGCGTTCCCTTGCTGAGATGTGCTACTGACCCTTGCCCCCACGCCTTTCCCTTGAACAGATTTTTTTAAACAATTTTTTGTTACATTTATTTATTTTTTTATAGTGGCAGAAATGGGTGTACATATGCCATGATCTGCATGTGGAGGTCAGGGGAGCCAGTTCCGACCGACCATGTAGGTTCTAGGTATCGAACTTAGGTCCTCAGGATTGGCAGAAAGCACCTTTCCCTGCTGGGCTCCTTACCTCATCCCCACCCTAACCCTAACTGATTTTCATGTCCAGGTTTCTTTGGTACAAATGTTCTGTTCTCTGTGGATCACAGTTGAAAGGAGCTGGGAAGATCTGCTCAGATGACAGTCCCCCCTGGCCCAGGATGCAACTCTGAGGCTTCTGGCTCAGATAGTGAGCTGATGGGGCTCCAGGGCCAGCACAGAGGTGACCGGAATTGAGTTGACTGTATACTTGGGGTTTACAGTCATTTACTCCAAAGAAAACAAGGCTTACTACAAATCATGAGCATCACACAAGCACCAATCCAAAGCAACCACGTTCTGAGTGGGTCATGAATGAGCATCTCCTACAGTAGAACGACACAGGTGCCCAGGGATGGATGGGAGGCCATCAAGCCTCAGTCACTAATCACGGGAGAATCGCTTGGCAGTGGCACCTTGTTCAACTCCTGCCTCAGAACAGTGACATTACTATGTGGCTGATGAAGAATGAACAATTCTACTGTCAAATCCATGAGCAAAAAGGTCCACTGTTCTTATAGTGGTCAAGGGCACCAAATTAGGCTTGGAGGGAGAAGAAGACATGGGATCACTAGAAGTAAGAATCTGATCTCTGGCTGGGTGGTGGTGGTGCACCCCTTTAATCCCAGCACTTGGGAGGCAGAGGCAGATGGATCTCTGAGTTCAAGTCCAGCCTGGTCTGCAAAGAGAGTTCCAGGACAGCCAGGGATACACAGAGAAACCCGGCCAAAAAAAAAAAAATCTAATCTCCTTGCCCCCTCAGGGTTTATTATAGTTTAAAAGAAACTGACAACAACAAACACACCTTAAGTAAAAAGAAAAGGAGCTTGGGTAAACATGGCTGCCTCTGGGGCAACACTGGCTTCGGGTACAGCTGTATCCAGGTGCTCAGGCGGGGTTTCCAGAGCTGTTTTCGATGTCAGGCAAGTTTTTCACGTGAGTCCCATTCATCTAGTTATTCTAACAAGGAAGATCTTTTTTTTCTAATGGTTTTTGCATGGATTCTAACTGCTTATTGACCAGGCTTTGGGTGATGTGTTCATCTATTATTAATCCATTGCCGTAGTTCCGATTGGCCAGGCTTGGGTGGTATGCTTCTTCCTAGAGATGGGAGCAGTCCCGCATCTTTATGGATGGAGAGATGAGGGAGTCCTCATAGAAATTCAAGGTCATTCTCACAGAGAAGGAGGAGGAGGAGGAGGAGGCACTGGCAGAATACTCAGAAACTGAGCATGTTGGCGGAGGCAGAGCCATGGAGTTCAATTCAGGAAGGCTTGCAAGTGAATGTGTAATAAATAATTCAACAAGTGTCAGCTCTGGGCCCAGGACTGTACTATGTATTAGAAGGGACTCGAGGGAAGAAGTGTGTCGTCTTAAAGAGATCATGGGGTGGAAGCCGGAGGGTAGGGCCTATGGGCAGGCGTGGAAGGCTGTAGAGATCCATGACTAGCACTTTGTCCCTCTGCTGCACATTAGAATAACCTAGAACTTTAAGTAGATTAATAACAAGACCTCTCTGGGGATTTTGATTTCCTTGGACTGAGTGTGACTCAGGCTTCAGTGTATTTTATTGGGGAAAAAACAAAAGACTCCATCAAATGGTTCCAAGAACAGTTACGGTTAAGAATAGGGGTCTAGGCTGGGGTGATGGCTCAGTGGTTAAGAACACCTGCTTCTCTTACAGAGGATCTGGGTTTGATTCCCAGCACCCATGTGGTGGCTCCGATGCCCTTTTCTGGCCTCCTCGGGCACCAGGCATGAATGTGGTATATAGACATATGCACAGACAAAACACCCATATACATAAAAATCTATTTTAAGAATAGAAGAGACCAGGAGGGCTGGAGAGATGGTTCTGTTTCTAAATTTCCTACTCTGCAATCGTGAGGACCTGAGTTCAGATCCTTAGCACCACATAAAAGCCAGGAGTGGTGGACATACCAGTAACTCTAGCCATTGACAAAGACAAGACAAGCAGATTCCTGGAGCTGGATAGTCAGTCTAGTCAATAGTAAGCTCCAGGCTCAGTGAGAAACCTTGTCTTAAAAAAAATAAAAAAGGAAAATGTTAGAGGCAGACATCATCCAGTGTTGACTTCTGCCCTCCATATATAACACATGAATGCACTTGCATCCCCACACATACGTGTCCACATACATAAACATGCACACACACACACACACACACACACACACACACACACACACACACACACACGAAAAAAGAAGAATTAGAGGCTCATAGGAAAAGTATCCATGCATCATTTGCTGACTGGGGAACTCTATCACAATTTTACCTTAATCCACATGTGCCATTTTCCTGGATGGGAAAGTGTCAAAACTACAGGAAGCAGTAACTAGGGCTTTTTTCTGTTTGTTTGGGTTAAAGTCTCACTCTACAGCCCAGGCTCCCGCCTCTGCACCCCAAGTCCTGGGATCCCAGGTGTGAGTCACCACACCCTGACTTTCTCTGATCTTTTACATTCAGAAGCAGGGCGGGATGCTTCAGCTGTCACTCACCCTAAGGAGGTGGTTCAGTGTGTCTGTACTGAGATACTGAAGGAAAGCTCCTGAGTGTATGTGTTTCTTCTTATGCTTGCAGAGGGTGTTTCTTGAAGCAGACAGTGAAGAAGAGATCTTTGCCCATCTGGGATTGGATTACATTGAACCACAGGAACGAAATGCCTAAGAATGAGTTGTTGACACTGTTCTCTTCAGGTTAGACAAATTGTGCCATGTGTTAGTTAAAGACAGCTTAGGGAAGTCCGGGATTGTTTAGGCCCCAGGGAATGTAGACAGCAAATGGATCGTATGTATACTATGCATAGAGAATATTCTAGAGCAACTTTAGAGGCTTAATAAGCTGGGACATGGCCACGGGTCACATTCTCAGGCTTTCTGTCCCACTGCTGCATAGAATTCATGTTTTTTTTTTTTCAATAAGAATGGTATTGCCATCAGTGCGTCATCCAGAGAAGTGCATCAAAGCCCACCTAACCCTTGTGTGTCTGGATCTCTGTACATCATCAATAAAAATAGAAACAAAAGGTTAAAGTTTTCTTCGCTTTGCTCAATTATTATATTTCTACACACAAATGGAACCGTGGAGGAGAAAGAGCTTGTGGTTTATTTTGAAGCGACACACAGGTATAATTAGTACATCTGAGGTTCCCAAGGGGACTCTGGGTCCCTTTGGAAGTGCTGGGAAGCGGGGTACTGACTCCTAGTTGTCTTGGCTCTGCTGTGAGCTGGTTCCTTTCCTGACCAGCACCGAGCTGTTTCAGGGATGAATTCTCATTGCTCTCTCTTGGTCACAAAAGCAGTTTCCTAAACCACAGCAGGAAAGTTCCCCTTTTCCATGTGGAGCTCTCAGAGAAACCATGTAGATTTCTTCATCTCAGGGCACCCAAGGCAAGGAAACGAGCCCCTGGAAGATCCATTCTTTCCTCCTGCTTCCTCCAGGAGGGCACAGACTAGACAGACCCTATGTCCTGAAGGGACCTAAAAGGCTATCTATTGTCACTATGTCAGGGTCCCCAACCTGCTGTAGAGCTGGAGATAAATTGATGAGTGTCAGTCTGTTTCCAGGAGCTGGGTGATGCTGTATGAAAAAGAGAGGTCCCTGGTCACAGTCTTGTATATCATAGGGGGATGGTGGGAATCTGATGTCCCAGCTTACTGTGCTTCTCCCCACAGAGGGTTAGTCAGCGTTACCCAGATGCCCCTTCTCCATGTTCCTGGAGGCCACTGGAGCTTTGGCCCCCACCTCCCACTCCACTGGGAACACTAGAAAGGCAAACATCAGCTTTGCCATTTCTTAGGCCTGGTCAAAAGAAGAGAATACCTTTGGCTATGGGTGGCAGCATGACAGTCTGATCTGTCCCAAAAGGTTAGGAAGTTTCATGCCATCGCTCCTCCCTTAGAAGATAACCCATCTGGGCCTGTCAGTCATTTGGCCAAGAGACCACCCCTGTCAGGCTGTTTCAGCTAAAGCCTTTCTAAGGCGATAGGAGGACTCATAGTCCCTTTAAGAAGATCGTACGTTTCCCTCCCAGAAACACCCCTTCTGTGGAGTTGCTTATGGAGTCATCGTCACAAAGCTTTGCTATGCCTGCCTGCTTTGTGGAATTACTCAGAAAAGCCTAACTTTTCCTTCGCAGCAGGCGAGCTGGTAAATTCGAGTGAGGCCTGACTAATACCCCAAATCCAGATATTTTCCATGTATCAGTTGATGAAGGAAGAGGATGGAGGAAAGAAGGAAACAGGACCACAGTACTGTCTGAGTTTGCAGCATGGAGGTCTCCTCACTGCCTGCTAAAGGAGTCCTGCCACAAGGCAGCGAGGGGGCTTTAGAGAAAGTTCTGGAACCCACAGTGCCAGAGGAAGCACACTTAGGTTCTGGCCAGCATCCGAGGGAAAGAGGCAGAAAAAAGAAAAGGGGAAAGTTGCACCCTTCACATCGGGGAAGAACCACAGATGGTTTGTCAGATGACCATTTATTTCCCACCTTATTACAAAAGAAGTTTTTGTATCAACAGAAATACTGACTCTTGCAATTTTAGTGAAAATAATTTAAAATAAAGATTCCAAGCAATTGATTGTAAGTAGAATTAAAATAGAGTATCTAAAACACAGTCGTACCTTATTTTATCAATTACAAGGCTTACTGATAAGTGTTTTTCAGTCAGGCCTCACAGACGCCCTCTGGGGTCAGTTTTATAAGCATAGAACCGAGGTTCTAGATGACCAACATTCTAGGCTGGAGCTGATACCCATATACATCAAAGCCACAAGGCCACAGTCTGATCAGGCTCTCAGGGAGTCCTAGGTCCTTCCCCACCATGTAAGAGAAGTAAATGTTCAGCATCCCTGGGAATGGCTGCTTGAAGATGTCCCAAATGAGCTTATCTAAGGAGCTGGGCCCATGAAACACAAAATTGAATTTCAGAGATACTTTGAAAAGCAATTGTTAGTGGGTGGTGGTCATCGGGTTTACAGAACCATTCCCTATTGTTCAAGAAGTAGAATCATTTCTGAGCATCCAGAAGCCCCATGTGAGAAAAGATGGCTCCCTGGGATATCCAGGTGGCTCATGGAGACTGTGGATGCTCCCAGAGATGTCCTGAGACCTCACCTCTCCCACTGTGAAGCATGACCTGTCCAAGGTGGTGACCATGCATCAGAAGAAGCTGTGACCAGGCTACCTGGAAGCCATCTGGGGAAATAAAGGCAAAGGCCTGGACCAAGCTGGTGAAGTCACCCTAGATTTCCCTTGGATGGCAGCTGTAGATACACTAACCCATCCCTTTGGTCCTGTGTTCATCTTTGGTCCTCTTTATCTCTCTTCCTCACAAACATCTTTGCTTTAGGATACTTCAAAAACAAAATGCCTCACTGCAAAGAAAGTCATTAAAACATGGATCTCAGTTTTATGTTAGTTATGTCTCATTGTTACAGTTGAATGCCTGATAAAATCAACTTGAAGGTGGAAAGGCTTCTCTTGGCTCACAGTTTGAGGGTGCAGTCAGTTCATCACAGCCGGAAAGACATGGCAACAGGAGAGTGTGGCAGCTGGTCACACATTCTATCTGTAGTCGGGAAACAGAGGGCAATGAATTCTGCATGCTCAACCTGAAGTCCCTTGGATCCAGTCCAGAAGCCCCACCCTAGAATGGTGCTTCTCACATTCAGGTGGATCTTCTTGTTCAGTTACACCTTTCTAGAGGTGTGTTTCCATGGTGATTCTAAGTCCCATCAAGTCAACA